TGCAGGGAATTAAAAGATTTCTATGTCAAGTGGGTGAACAAAAAAGCAAAAATGGTACAAGTAAAAGTACAGTATCCTACGCCTATTTTGGAGGTATGGTAGTACTTCACATGAATTACCCTGTGGCTTCCTGAAGCACACGTGTAAAGGTCAGAACATATCTGCACTGATTTTTGGAAAGCAATTTTCTGACCAGAAAACAAAATTTAACACAAATGATTTAAATACTGATTAATATAACTTTTCCTTCAAACATATTTTCTGAACAGATCTGACAACGCAGGTTATCTTGGTGCTTAAGAAGTTAAGTGAATAACCTTCTTGCCATGTTATCGACAGAAATGTTCCCTCATTGTATCAATACTGGGTGTGGATTAAGTTAACTCATTCCCTCATTGCATTGTTGCGTTCCCTAAATATCAAGTCGATGGTAGCATGAACTTCATTAGTGTCTACGGGATGTGATATTTGGGGTCAACAATTTATTAAAGGGTGGACGTGAAACAAGGGGTTTGGGTGACAGTCAAAGTGTATGGTTGGTTTATTGCTCTCACTTCTCTTCATCAAAGTTCAATGTGGGTTTGAAGACAGGTGTAGCTTAGCATAGTACAACACACAAAAGGCAAAGTTATAGAGAGGCGAAGTGTACATGAGTGTAACTAAATTACGGTTTGGCAGGACCATTGGAAATGCAAGTCAGACGGAGTGGGTTACGGTACGTGTGTGTAGCATCGCACAACTAGGCTACACTCATCGGGCCGGGNCCACCACGGTGACTAGCAAGGGCTGGACGGGGCCAGCGCCGGTATGTACCGACCGCACTGCCGCTCAGACTGCAATGAGGTGAGCGCAATGATAAGATCGCCGCACTGTGTACCATTGGCTCAGCGTAGAGACGGGGAGGACCGGGCTAGTTAGCAGGACATGGGTGGCCAGGGACCCGGGGGTGTCTCGCCCGGCAATCGGTTCGGACGTAGCGGTGACGGGCCGCTACGGCTAATTCGTACAGCTTTCGCATCGGTCCAGGCTGAGCTAGCTGGCCAGTCATATGGTTACATTTCTTCGCCATAAAAATGGTTACTATTGCACTTCTCCCGGTGAGGGTCCAACCGCCGCACTACGTTGGGTTCCGCTCTCGCAATACGGGTTTGGTCCGCAGCACTTGACCGACGAGCTTAGGAAAATCTGCTCTATTTATAGGCCTAGGAATTAATAAAATTTGAGCGTCGCTGAACAGCTCAACCAATGAAAATCTTCGATCTCAAAGGGTCACATGACTTCCTGCTAGAGTCGTATGCAAGAATCTCAGTGTCGTGTGTAGCAATGTAAAATACAGAATAAGAAGTCACGTGTACAAAGTGTACAGCCGGGTGCGTTAAAGTGCTTACCCGGTCATCTGTGGCGAATGATTGACAGTTATAAAGTCTGAGGTTTCTGGACATTAGCATTTCAGGGAACCTTACCACGCCCAACCACGCAGCCACATGGAGGGGAATTTCGACATGCCAAAACTAAGCAGAGAAAACACAAGAATAAAGGAGTGAAGGAACACGCGATCACGCCAGAGTACAGCATGAATAACTTAATGCAAAATTAGCGTCTCTGCTACATGTCTATAATGCATAGCTGAGCTAAATAAGAGACCCTGAGAAATGCAAGGACCGAGAACGAGTAAAACTAGGGGGCGCTAGAATTCCAAGATTTGTGGGTGCGCAACAGTATTCATATTTTACTTTGCTTTTTTTGTAGTTCAGGCTGCCATTTTCAGAAGAGCATAAATTTTCATTTTTTGGCAGGATTTCCTCAGGACAACTCCTTTTGCAATTTTAGGGTAAATATTTTTGGCTTAGGCAACTTTTGGTAACATTTGAGCAAAACACTGAATATGGCGTTTGTATCAATTGAAATCTTTAAATGGATCTTTTTCGAATGATTTATTTGAAGCCACAACATCTCTACAGAGAGTAATACAAATCTTTCAAGAAAACTAATTACATACCTGTTGTTGTTTGTAGACTGATCAATGATCTTCTGCAAAGTTGTATTTAACAGATGAGAAATTTTTTGAATGAAAAAAGCAAACACAGAAATGGTACACCTACAAACTAAATTCTTATGTGCATGTTAACCCTTCAGTGCAGGGTGTAAAACTGGAAAGTGGAAGATTTTTTCTCTAGACAAATTCTACTCTAAAAATATTTACGTGAATATACAGTACTTTACTGCTGATGGACATGCATGATAGAAGTTGGCAGTGGCCACGTAACGTTAAAGGTACAAATTCAAATTCTGGTATACATCATGTACATGTATATAGGCTCTACAGCATTTTTGTATTAATTATTAGGCCTAATCCTATGTGAATATTCATGTGTGAATAACTACTGTTTGCCAAGAAAAAAATGAAAGATGTACACAAGCCAAAAGATCAGGAGCTGTGGTTAAAAAAAGGGTTACGGTCCATCTTCATTTAACATTATATTACTGTGGCAGCCATGAAATATTTTATTATTTAAGAACACAGCTGTTCTTTTAAATTAAAGTTTTATCTCTTTCTAGAAACTTTAACCTTCTGATATTCAAGACATCATTTTGGTTCAGAGGTGTCATGAAATAAAAGAACTCCACTTTTGTAGGGTAATTTAGTCAACATTTTGGGGGAGTGAGTGACTTAAGTTGTGATGAAACGTGCCGTGGGATATCTGCGCCCAGGCGGCCTACGCACGAGAAACATGTATGTACACATAGGGCCTAGGCCGCAACACAGAGAGTGTAACCACACAGAACACACCAAAATTCTCCGATTTCATCTCCAACGGTTTTACGTTGTGATGTTACACATTTCTATTTATGATAAATATAAGTTTCAATCTTAATTGAGGGTAAATATTTACCTTACTGACCTTTTTTTGTGGATAGAGCCTCCCGTCACCATGTCACATGTACAAACAGCTCGCCATTTGCACACCAAATGGCGGAATGTGACCTCCATGAAATTAACACGTGCGAGATGGTCAGTTCCCCATCTTGCGCCGCTGCACGGCGCTATACAATCTTACGTCAAGATGGCGCTGATCAAATCCAAGATGGCACGGTTACGGTCTTTAGGGGTGCCTTCCCCCAAATGGTTGTATTTCTGCGTGCGAGCTCATTAATATTTTGTGATCCCACGGGGTTTTCACAATAAGGCAGGCCATAATCAGGAGGCAGCATAGAAATATTTCTATAAATCTCGAATTTAAGACTGACAGTTTCCAGTTCAGGGTATTTCTTTCACAAAAAGCCCGAATTTGCCAACCTATGTTGGATAGAGGAGGGAGGCTACATTCAGAAATGAACACTTAGTTTTATCGCTATTTTTGGCGTATCTTCATTCAAAGGCGAATAAAAATTTTTTTGTGGCTAACCCCCATGAAATTGAAACGAAAAGTGATCTCCTGGCCATAATATTGAATTTCCAGTGAAAAAACGGAGGCCAACCTCTTCACGAGAGTCAACAGGCGACACTATTTTGGTCCGATTTTGCACTGTTTTGTATGGGCGCGTATTTGGAGTAGTGCAACCTTAGTATAGAAGATGTCAATCTTGACCTTTGACCTTTTGCAAAATTATGATTGGTCGAGAGTCGTTACAAATATGCAAAGTGTTTTAAATGCTTATATGTATACAAGCAATATACATATAGTATCATACAACACTCAAGGCAATTGGATTGCGCCAAGCTTTCGGAGACTAAGCTCCTTCAAGGCAAGCTGTGTGAATTCACAACTCACACAGCCAACCAACTCAGTAAAGCGCAGGCGCACCGTGTCAAATATTTCATGGGAAAGGCTCATTGTGGGAAATGCTATGCCGAAAAGGTTCCCAGTGGCGGATCTGTAGGAAGGGGTTTACTCCCTTGTGCAACCTTAGGCGGCCAAACAAATTTTGGGACAAGCCAAACAAAACAGAAAACTATTTGCAACAAAATTGCCTTCTCGTTTTAGCACCAAAATAGTGCTCCAGAATCCCCCCCGGTAAAAAGCCCTCCCTTGGGCTGCCAAAAATGTGGCGAGCCAAAAATAGAAAAAAAAAATTAAAAATACAAATTGCCTTTCTCGTTAGCCCAAAATTCTTTCATAATGCCTCAGCAAGCCTTCGGCTTGTCCCGCCGGTCCCCCCTCCCGAGGTACAATACATGAAGCTCTCCCATGTGCAGGAGTTCGTGAGTGCCCCGTCATTATTCCTATAGCTCTAGTGCCGCTGGTGATGTTTCACTTCCAGGAAAGTCACCCTTTCGTGCGGTACTTAAGCCCAAGCACAAATGATAAATAGGTCATAATACTCCAGGGCTACATGATGAAACAAATTTAAAACCCACTTTTGATGTAAATTGGTGTCTCATTATACTGTGTTAAATTGTACCCAAGGTACGTGAACTTGATAACCCCAAAGTGATTAATGATGTGATTATAGAATTCGTACAGTATGTAAAAATTTATCTTTCAAAGGATGAATGACATTACTTCAAAACACCCAGAATTTTCTTTTATTAAAATATTTTCTTTACAATATGTTAAAAATAGGAATTTAGAAATATCAAATGACAATCTAGAAGATTTGTGCAAGCTTTAAACGGACTGATGAGAATTACAGGGTGCTTAACAGCAGTACATCCATTGCTGTATTGTCATTTAATGTTTGTCATGTTTCATGTCAATAGGAATTAACACTGTATGATAGGTGCTTCACCACCCCAGTGAAAGCTGGAAAAGATCACTCAGGTGGGACTCGAACCCATGACCTCCTGCTTACTAGTGCAGACCTCTTAACCCTTAGTGCAGTCTTAGTGCAGACGTTGAATCCCGATTTAAACCAGCCAGGGGTCCGAACTAGCCAGCCGACACCATTAGCTCGGTGGTTGACTGGTTAAGACGTCTGCACGAGTAAGCAGGAGGTCATGGGTTGGAGTCCCACCCGAGTGATTTTTTTCCAGCGTTTGCTTGGGTGGTGAAGCACTGAGCATACAATGTTAATTCTGATTGGTGTAGGGCAAATATCACCCCAACACAAAAACATCATGTTTCATCTCATTGTGTGTATTTGTGAAACAACTTACTTGCGCGTAGTTTCTCTGCGAGTACTCGAGTGACTACTTCTCACTACAGCTACTCACCCAGCACTAATTTCAATTCATGAAACTAGATACTCACAAACTAAATTTGAAGTTCATGCATCAAGTATTCCTCAAGATATTGTGCTGACATGATTTCTATTGTTTAAGCCATTGTGACCTTGACCTTTGGGGTCCAAAATCAACAGGCTTCTTCAGACCACCAAGGGGAACTCAAAAACCAAATCTGAAGTGCATACATCAAGTATTTTCAAAGTTATCGTGCTGACAAGATGTTTGCAACAAACGCACGCGCACGCAAACATGTTTTTTGGGCAATCATGGACGTTCCTATTGTCCTCTTTTGTTTGTACTTCAACTTTTTTGGAAGGCCTCCTATATGTTTTGTACACGATTGACAATCATAGACATGGACGGTCTGATTGAAATGAAACAAATAAAAATCTTCCACTTCATATGATAGCTTCTCCAAAAATTCTGCAACAATTCAGTGATATGTATTTGTTCCACAAATTTTGAACTATATATGCATCAACATTTGACATGTTTGATGGATAATTGCTTCCAATTATGAATTTGTAATTTGGGGGGTTATGTCCACTTTATGGAATTGCCCATAGTGCGGCCGTGCGAAGGTTCCGGAAGCTCGCTGTGTGGCCTTTTACTTGCATCAGTGCTCTATACTGAACTAAACATTTAGATGGTTTAAGTGTTTTCACCTGTCTTGTGTGGCCAAACTTTTGTCCAAGCAAGTCTCTATCATCTTTTTACATAGCATGAAAAACTGCACGGAATTCATATGTGATCACCTCCATAACAGACTTGTATTTAATTATCTGCCACATTTGGTTTCAAACAAATGTCATCAACTTGGTGCACATGTGTACATAAGCATTTGGAATACTGAACTTGCTTATACTGAAATAAATGTAGTTGCAAATCTGCGCCTCCACATTGTGTTATGCATACAAATGAAAAGCATGAATACCACCGAGTGGATCATACATGTGCAATTCCAGGACTGGTTAAAGGAGTTCCAGCTCCCTTTAATAATTTGTTACTTGGTGATTTAATTATACTCATGAAAGTGCAATGCATACATGTAAAATGAACAAAAATGTATTTTACTTACGAGGTAGGCCTTCACCTTGAACCCACTCTTTGAAATAATTGACAACTGTACATGAATCCTCTTTTGACCACACCATGCGCTTTTTCTCAAGTTGACAAGCACCTGAAAAAAGACAAATTAAAGGCCATGATTTACCATGCAACCCACAGCGTTCTTTGGAAAGGTTGTAAAATTGTACCAGGATGTCTTTTTTGGGGGGGGTCTTCTTGTTGGGCCCAAACTAGGCCATACCACGCATAGTATAGGCGGTTATGTAATTTGCATTTTTGTTTTTGCTAAAGAAGGATTTTTTGTTATAGTTCAATGGATTTTACCTTCCTAAGCTAGGAATCCATTGGTAACATTTTTTCCATCTCCCGTGTGGCGGACATTTTGGATTTCAAAATGGCTGCCATTTTTATCCTAATTTGCACCATACATGTAACTTTGGATCGGATTGTCATATGAAGTCCATTTTGGTGGCAAACCCTATGTTGATGATACCTGGGAACCCAAGGATATCATTGTTGAGCAGCTACTCCCAATGGATGGCAGCCTAAAATTCATCGGGGACAAATCAGGGAATTTTATTCTCCTAATGTTAACCCCGCCAGCATATAGACTTTCAGAATAATATCAGTTCATAAAAATCCCTGCCAATTCTCTGAGAACTTCTTGGACCCAAACCGAACCTGCAAACATAGACTGTACCTGTGCCACAATTACAGCCCATAGCCTGCTACCAGTATGAACACTTATCCCGTCTGGCCTACAGATTGGGCATTAATAATTATCCCCTTAAGCTCGGATAAGGACAAATGTTGCAAAACATGTAAGTGTGATGTTATCCCAGCTGGTGGTAATTTAAAAAAATCCAAGATCTAGGATTAACAGGTCAGCAATGATTTATTTGCATTCCTAGTTGGATAATGAACATGGGGTTCACCTCCAAACTGACTTGATGTACCAATGAGGACCGAAATTATGGATTATTACGAAATTATTACATGTAAGGTAATGGAGGTCATTTTGAAAGGTCCAAGATGGCAGCCGACAACATGGATTAATAGAATATTTATAATATATTAAGGATTAATAGGTTGAAAATAATATATTTTATAATAAATTTGGATGTCCTCATATCAAAGGCATGCCCAAGAAATTGACTTGATTTGGCATTCAGGTGTAATGTAATTATTAAATGTTAAAAGAAATTCAAAATAGCAGCCATTTTGAAAAATCCATGACAGCTGCCATCCATTTGATTAACCACTTGCTGCCGGTTTCATTATAAATGTTGATGATGCTGTGCTGGGACAATTATCATTTTTTCTGTTTTCAAAATTCTTTAAAAATTCATCATTTTAATAACGGACGTTTACACCCACGGGCGGAAATCTTTAGGCACTACTCAAAATTGACAGCTGACCTTCAATGCCCGAGTATTTCAGCCAGGCCTGCAGCCTTGTAAAAACAGCCCAGATTGTGTGGTGTTACATATCTTTTTTGTTCACGAAACCGTTAGCAGTGAACTGCTGACCTCTATTCAATGGGAACCAGATTAGCGTGCAGCGGCGCTGTTTGGCTGTCACTGCGGTGGTAAAGAGCTTTTGTCCCCGGTAATAATCCGCTCGCTCTAAATGCCCCCAAACCTTGGTACATGGTTTCAGAACAAGGCTGGATTTTCTCTACTATTGAGAGTGAAAAAATGTCAGTAATTCCCAGCAGCCTGGTCTTTTGTCCAGTTTCGGAGTCCGAGCTTAGTGTATAAAGCCTCGGTGCTCGAAAACGAGTCACCCGGAAAGAAGTGATTAACAGGTCAACAGTGATTTCTTTGGGTTCTTTGGTGTAGCAAGCATGGGGTTTGCCACCAAAATGGACTTAAAATGGTCTGACATGGTCTTAATCAGGTCTGAAGTTACAACAGAAAATAAGTCTGAAATGGCGGCCATTTTTAAAAATCCAAGATGGCAGCCATCATCAACATAGGGTTTGCCACCAAAATGGACTTCATATGACAATCAGGTCCAAATTTATGGTACAAATTAGGTTAAAAATGGTGGCCATTTTGAAATCCAAGATGGCCGCCACATGGTCGACGAAAAAAAAAGTTACCAATGGATTTCTGGTAGAGAAAGGTAAACTTTACTGAATTCATTAAAAACATCCTTCTTTAGAAAAAATTGCAAATGTCAAAAATGTGACACAATATCCTTTACTACATTTTTCTAAATTAAAATCAAAATATATGGCTCACGTTCCCCTTTTTGATGAAAAGTGAATTTGTTTTTCAAAATTTCAAGTATTTATGTTTGACTCACCTGACCACCCATTTTGGACAAATTTTGTGATAGGCCTACTGAAATTACATGTAATAATGACCTCTGAGGTTTATAGTAAAGTAATGTACAGCGTGTTAATTCTTTTGCCGTCGTAGTTAATAACAAGAAGGGTAAAATGAAACCAACAAAAGGATAAATATAAACAAAACTACATAAGCCCCCCCCAAACTCTCTGATTTCTGGTCAGTGCGTCCTAGACATGAACGTGTATATGCATTACCGAAATAAGTTTTTTTAATTCGATGTAAAATGGTGCCCAAAACCTGCCAAACTTGAGCTGGAATCTTGATTCTGCGTATTTTAACGTGACGTGATGCCACAAAACATGGTGACATGGTCAACTAAAAGTGAGGAAAGAAGCCTTGTCCCGTGTCACTTTTGGATCCAACTAGTGATAACCAGAAACCAGAGAATAGTTTTTGACCTAAACCCAAATTCACAGGAAGACTCTGGCACACTGAAGACGGCATGAAAGTCAAATGTGAGTTTGTCAAGATAGACACATTGGTTTGTGTCAATGTTTAGAACAAGCCATTTTGCTTGCATAGTTTCGTTTAAAGCAATAAAATTTACTAAGTTCCCAACAATTCTTTTTCACACCATTAGTGTCGTCAATAAATCTAAATAACCCAGCAGATAGGTGCAATATAGGGAAGACTTGTGCACTTTTTGATAAAAACATGAAACTTGGTACACACTCATCTACACGTCAATAGAAACGCATCTGGATACAGGGACATCACAGTTTTAGNCCCTGGTCACTAATGACGGCCATATTCCAAAATGCGCCTTTACCATTACGCTTCTGGCAGAGAAAAAACAGGTATGTAGCTCCCTGCACAGAAACAAAATCCGTCGAAAATTTTAAAAAGTAATTTTTGGGGGTTTCTTTTTAACTTCCATTATGTGTTGAATTTTGTTGACAACTGAGAAGCAGCTTTCCTCTTGCAATAAAAAATGAATCAGACTTTAGAATTTTCTCTGAATTCGTACACAATCATTATAGCCGCACGTTTTAAGTGTGAAAACTTCGCCCTGATTAAGCATTACACACTTTAACAAGTGGGAGTATGGAGTCTGCGTAAGGGCACCGTAGATTCGTGGAGTTCATCCCCACTTTTTTTTAATTTGGAATTCCTATAAGACAGCATTCCCAGATTTGTGGGTGGCATCCATCACAGATACAGTGCAACAGTCTACTTCTACGGTGGCCTCACATAGCCACCACTTCTGACTTTCTAAACACTCTGCCTTGAAGAATCACTGGTTACTATGGCAACAATTTGTCAGGTGTGCCAATAAGCTGCTACCCTTTCTACCTCCACTTGTTAAAGTGTGTATGCTTAATGAAAGTTAAGTTATCCCACTTCAAATATGCGGCTAGTAACAAATTTTATCTGAATATCTATATTCAGACAACATTCCAAACTCAAAGATCATTTTTGATGATTTTATTTCTGTAAAATAGGTTGCCAATTATCGCGTTAATTCCGAGCAAATGGCCATGCATGTCATGTCCCCGACATGGGCTGTTAGGAGTATGAAATTTCCGGCAAGAAGCGTTCGCGAAGTGTACGCTGCACATTTGCAAGCAGGAGACTTCTGCAAAGTTAAAGACAAAAATGATCAGCAATACAATACTCAATGGGCCTAACAATTCACAAAGTGTTTGCAATAATGTCATGAGGAAATGTCGGCATCATTATATGGCGACGCAGAGTATCCATGGTGGCCGGATACAAACAGAAATTTGTCGTCATTACACGCAAAGCGTTCGCGAATGGCACATTCAACTCTCACGAATACTGGCACACTGAGAAGCGTTTCTCACCATATTTTGCAAGACTTTACAAACTCCCTAACTTTGTAGGCATTCGTTTCGGATGCACCGTTTGCGAAGAAATATTTGCTCTAAATCCATCGCAATAAGTGCAAATATCCCCCACTCGTAGCAGAGTCGAGAGAGCAACACCCAGGAATTGAGGGGAGCCCCTGTGTAAGTGCTCATACTCCTCCACAAGTGAACAGTCCTCCAGTCCAATCCCATCATATTGTAACTATTTAGACTGGCTGTTAATTCACACAAAACCATAGTAGACAACTACAAATTGACAGTGTAGCAAAAAGTCCATCCTTCTGCTTGAAATGATATTTTGTTTCAAGAAATTTATTCTACAACATACATTTGGAGCCTTCTACTGTTTGGGTCACCTCATACATGTACATGTTTAATTCTCAGATTTACTCCTTATTTGCTCCTGCATTTCCCTTTCAGCTTGTTTAGTCAGCGGTAAAGCAGGCCTGTCGGATTGCTGGTTTACCAGCTGACTAAAGCCGCGTTCGCACTGGACTTAAAATTGTCAAAAGATACTGTGTGCAGTAGTTAACATTCCACAGCAGTAATTCTTCCGTGCATTCGCACGTTACATTCGCGGCTCACAGAAACTTTAATGGGGCATGTCCTCCAAAAATCTCACGAGGGCGTCATGTAATTGACCTCCGACACAAATTTAACCATGATCCACCAGATGTTGTTAATATTGTAGCGAGCACCGCGTGATCACCCCCTTGTTTACCGCGGGTTGCCATGCAACTGGCGCGCGAACTGGTCGTGGTGCACCGGTGCGGCGCGAAATAAGCTGTGTAAAACACTCTCTGGCTGGCTCTCGACGAAGCAGGACTGCTCTCACGTCTGTGTCCGACCTACACCGCCGCCCCCAAATTGGCTGAGAAAGTTGTAAGTTCCCAAGAAGCAGAGACACAATAAATCATTCAAACCCG